CGGGGGACGTGAATTTATCTGGGATTCACGTCTGGGACCCCCTTATCCTTTCACGGGAGTCTTTTAGCGGCGAGCACCCTGTGGCTCTTACTTGCTCGACCTGTGCCTGTGGGGCTTTTAGTGGCTAGAGAGAAAGGAAGATATAGAAAGACCATCCTGTCTCCACCCGTGTGGGCAGTCGGGGTCTGCCAAGAGGGCTAAGAGCCTTTGGTTTACGTCAGGGAGTGGCCCTGACCAGAAAACCTCAATTGCTCCTTCGCCTTTAACGGTCCCTCGCGAAGACTGGATCAAGAATAAAAGAGAGACAGAAAAGACAGAGAAAGCTTAAAATAGAGAGTGTAGAGAAAAATACAAAACTAGATGTTTTCTTAAAATACTAATATACTATTAAGTGCACACACACCATGTTATATCACATTCAAATGGACCAGTCCTTCTTACATTCAGACACATACAGCACTCACCATTCTTGCTTTCTGGATCCCCAAATACAGATACAAACAGACAACAGAAAACCTCGGCGTGCTCTCTGATTCAAAACTGAAAGTACAGACTGGGAGGGGAATAGCCAAGCCAATTTCCCTTCTCCTGAGGTGAGGAGACACTATCTTCCTCACTTCATATCACTCTGGTCACTAGGGCCAGAGTGCTGGAACCTGGGGTCTCTGGGCACGTCTGCCACTCTCCTTGGTTCCCAGAATACAGACATAAAGGTCTTGTACAGGCACAACTGTTCAGATGGAACGTTCCCAGAGCAGGAAATGACTGACAGACATTAAGACCAAGACAAACCACAAGACAAATATTCTTACCTCCTGCTGATCTGAGGAAATGGGTCTGGGGGCGGGGGCGACCGAATCCCGGACGAGCCCCCAAATGTAGGACACCCCCCCCCGCCGACTGGGGTACCCTACGTTCTCGGGAGGTCGCACCCCAATAACTCAGTCCTCAAACCAGAAGATGCGATAGCAAGAGGTTTTATTATTTCATCTATAGATGGTATTCAGTTTAGAAGCTGGGTTATATAGACAGAAACCACAAACCACAAGCAGTAGGAGGGGCTGGTATTCAGTTCGGAGGGGCTATTCAGGTCACAATAGGAGTACTTGGTTACATGGTTACAGCAGAAATGGGAGGGGGATTTTTCAGGTATTTTTCCAGCTTAAGGAAGCATGAAAAGGTCATCTTTTCTTCTCTACAGTTAGAACTATTTTCCTTTTACTTCCTTGTACAGTTTCCCAGAATATAGCCTGGGAGACTTAGTTTCAATTTACTTTAATCTGGGGGTCTCTGACTTGATTCCATCACAACATTTTCAGTTTTACAATTTGTTAATTTTTAAAAGAAAAATATCTATTTCGATTCTTTGATTTGTGAGCTGGAAAACTTAAAGTAGATATTCATAGAAGAAAGCTACAATTATATTTAACTTGTAAAATACTTGGTATTAGCAATACAAATAGACTGACAATTAAAACATATGCTTTGAAATGTTTGAGATTATTCACTTAAACCCAGCTCCTGGGAGTCATAAGAGTGAAAATCAAAGGTATTAAATCCAACATAATTACTAAATGGTGAATTTTACTATAGTGAAATCTAACTTGCCCAGCACGTTGTTAACGGGCAATACTTATTAACTGCCTTATCCATAAACAATGATAATGTATAGTCAAAATAATGAAAACAGAATCCAAGATCTACAAAATCTTTTGTAGCATACAGCCTTTTAGTACTGGAAGAGGCATCTCTTCAGACATCACCAAATCTTTTTCATCACAACCTTAGAAAGACGGTTTCAGAGAGGTGACAAAAATGTAGATAATGCCCTCATTTTCTGACTCCAACACTGATCTTCCTCTGCAAGTCCATTTGGGAATTCTTTTACTCAGAATTCTCAAATAGTCCATCCATGCTAGGAAATTATTGATGCAATGATTTCATTAGAGTGTTTTTCCTAAGGTAAGTGCCACATAGAATTTTCCTTCAGAACAAACTCTAAAGGAACACAGAATTTGAAATCAGGCAATAGAAATCAATACTATCATAATAGAATAAAGAACTATGATATATTGACAAATTACCATAGACAACTGTGGTAGGAATCTCACTGGGGTCTTGGATTTTTCTTTACCAGATACTTTATCCTGTGTGGAAAAAAAAATGAAAAAAAAACAAACCTGTTTACTCATTAATGATAACGTTGATTCACTAAGTCAAATTTTGCAATGTTTACTGTAAAGTAAAGCAAGTAACATTCAAAATAATCTAAAACAAAATTTACAGATAGTATGGTCTTATCTGTGGAAAATCGTATAATACACAAAGACATTAGAATTCATTCGGAAAGGCTGCAATATACAAAATACACACACACATACACACACATACACAAAATTTCTAGACAGTAGTAATAAACACTTCTAGATGAAATCAAGACACAATTTCAGTGCTGGTGAGATAGCTCAGCAGGTAAAGGCACTTGCTACCAAGCCTGAGGACCTCAGTTGATACCCATAGAGTGAAAAGAGAGACCCAACTCATGCAAGTCATCCTCTCACTTTCACTCATGTGCTTAGGAATAAATATAGCAAAAAAGTTTAAAACTTGTGCAATTAAAATGACAAAGTATTATTAAAAAATAAAACCTTAATAAGTATTAAAGCATTTGAACGTAAGTTCTCATGTATGCTAGGCAAGCAATCTACCACTAAGCTATATCCTGACTCCAAATAATTTATGAATAGGAAATGCATCTATTTACAATAATTTTGTGAAAGTTGTACCTACTTATAAAAAGTTCTATGAAAGTTACAGTGCAGTTCATGTTCTTGCCATTGCAAGTCTCTGAGTCTCACACAGTTCACTGATCCCCTCAGCCCGAGAATGTCCATGGCATTGTGCTGCTATGAATATGTACGTGCCTCATCATCCATATGTGCTCTCTGAACCTCAGCTGTGCCTCTGCAAATGGTCTCTTTATAAATATTCTTTAATTTTAGGTGTGCCATTTGGGATCCTAATATAACGTCTATTCCGCAATGAAATTACTAAATAGTCTAGGTCCTTCTTAAATAGTCTAGCTTTGGTTTAGGTTTCTCTTTGTTGGTTTTCATCTACTTGCTTTACATAATCTAAGAGTTAGCCATGGTGTGTATTAGTTAATTTTCTATTGCTGTGATAAAACACCATGACCACAAGAACTTATAAAAGGAAGAGTTTATTAGAACTTATGGTTCCAAAGGGTTAGAGTCCATAATGGCAAGGGAGGCATGATGGCAGAGATGGCCAGAGCAGAAAGCTGAGCACTCACATCTTCAAGCAGGCTTAGGAAGCATAGAGAGACAGAAAAACTGGCAAGGCTTAAGAACTCTCAAAGTGCACTCCCAGTGACTTGCTTTCTCCAACTAGGTCACACCTCCTAAAACCTCCCAAAACAGTGCCATCACCTGGGGACAAAATGTTCAAATACTTGGAGCCAAGGGGGACATTCTCATTCAAACCAGCACACATGTGGGCAAATGTTTCTAGTTAAATTGACAATAACATCTCAAAATTTAATAGGGTTGCTGGATATAATATTATATACCCAGCACTTGGGAGGCTGAGAAATGAGGATTATATGAGTTCAAGGTCAGCCTCAACTACACAGTAAGACCTTGTCTGAAAAATAAAACTTAATAAGGTTGGCTCAAACATTAGTGTCACACATTTGAGTTGTGGCTGATAAAACTGCCACTATAGTAGCGGTCTCACAGCAAATTTTTTCAAGCCTACCTCTTTTTCAAGTTATGATATTAAAAAGATATGATGAAGGAGAACAGGGTGAGTATCAGAGACATGAAACTTGATTCTATGACTTTAAAGAGACTGCTGAGGCACAGAAAGGCTGCCAGCATTTTCTCTTCTCTGCCTACAAGCCGTAGTCAGTTTGTGAGGAATACTTTACGTATTCCTTTACACCTCTGAAAGTTCTTCAACTGAAGCTCTAAATGTCTTAAGTTTTAACTAGTTTTAAAAGTGAAATGAGCAATTGCAGAAGTCTTATATTTCTCTTTAAATACCTAACTTAAGAGAAAAATCCAGACTGCTATTTCTGAAAAATGCCATGTCCCTCTCAACCTTCCACTAATGAGATGAATATGTTAAAACCTCCTCAGTAAATACAATTCTGCCACCTTCTCGCGTCTTCAAATGGAATGAATACATAAGTAAATGTCACGTTAAAATGGAATTTCCAAAAATTTAATCCATTCTATTTGTTTTAGATTAAAGTATAAAAACTTTCATCTTTTCAAAAGGAAAACTGTACTGTAAATTAGCATACAAGAAAGCATCAAGATGAATTTTAAAATTACAAAATAACCAAAACAGTGACAGAGGGCCCTCTGCTGTTTAAAAAGGGTGTGTAGAAGATGAGGATAATCCTAGATGGGCTAATAATGTCCATTCTTGGTGATTCCAAGGGCTCTTCAATTAAGTATGGCCATTTTGGAGGTTGTCGGTTTTGGAGGGTATCATTTCCCTGGATTGCTTTTATAAAGATAAAGCAAAACTTCAGACTTGACTTCCAGTAACTTTTTTCCCTAGTGACTGCTCTTTAAGTTACAGATGGCTAAGTTGGGAGAATTATGAAAAATAGCCATTCAGGAATACTACTGTAAATTTAATAAAGATGTATTTTAGATTTTGACAGTATATGATATGGTTCCATGACTGAGTCAAAGACTGATTTTTGTTAAGAAGTACTTTGATTACAATAGCACACAGGAAAAATTTACTAGCAAAGTCTAATAATTGCTCAGATATTTTTAGCTACGTGTATCTGAAATTTAGGGGGCTCTTTGCTTGCTGGCTTGTTATTTTACTACTAATTACTAACTATATTTTAATGTGTTAATCAAAGTGTTTGTTCTTGGTTCTTAATTATATATTTCAAAAAAGTATTGAAATCAAAATTTCTTAAGCATTCAGATCCATTATTTACTTAATGAATTTAGGGCTTGATATTTTCTCCTAGAAATCTATAACCCAATAGATAGCTGTTATGGTTTGGATATTGCATGTTTCCCCCCAAACCTCAGGTGTTTTGAAGGGTACTTCCAGTTGGTGATAGTATAGAGAGGTGATTGGACTGTGAAGATGCTAGCTTCATCAATAAGTTTAACTAGCTCATGTCTAAATGGGCTATTAGAAAGTGGGGCAGAGTTGGAGGAAGAAGGCTGCAGGAGGTCTGCTTTTGAAGATTAGACCTTTCTCTAGCCCCTTCCTCAGCATTCTCTGCTTCCTGGCTGCCATAATGTGAACAGCTTTCCTCTGCCATGTTCTTCCTGCCATGGTACAGTGCTTTGCTATAGGGTCCAGAAACACCCAAGCAACCTCTAAAATCAAAGTCAAAAATAACCCTTCCTCCCTCAAGTTGTCTTGCCCATGTCACAGCAACAAAAACTGACTAGCATAAAGGGGGGTTAAATAGTTGTGTGTGTGTGTGTGTGTGTGTGTGTGTGTGTGTGTGTTGTATGTGAATGCTGTATGTGCATGTGCGGGGGGTACCCACATCCATGTGCAGAACAGAGAGGAGGACATAGAGTGTCCTACTCAATCACTCTCTGCCTTAATACTTTGAAACAGGGTCTCTCACTGAACCTGGAGCTAAGCTTGTGGCTTACACACACACACACACACACACACACACACACACAGTGCTGGGATTTACAGACAAGCTCATTCTTGCTGGGCCTTTTAAGTGGTTGCTGAGGATTTTAACTTAGGTTCTCATTGTTTGCACATCTACCTCTTAACCACTGAACTATCTCCCCAGCCCCTAAATAAGGTTTTATCAGCATTTCCACAACAAATTCAACTTACAAAAGAAAGTATTATAAAGTAATGAAAAAGTAGGAAGTGAAACAAAACTTGCAAACTTTAAAACAGCTTCTTATTCAGTTTGCTTACAGAGTCCTTTTCTCACTCATCACAGGGTAGACAGCTGGAGGTTTTCTTTACACCTCAGAAGTGTGCTGGCATAAATGTTGACCGATGTCCTGTACTACCCCGTTAGTCTTAAGTTCAACAAAGATAGACTTTTTTTTTTCTTTTTAAAATAGTTATTGCTTCAGGCGTGGGCCGCAGGCCTTTAATCCCAGGCCTTTAATCCCAGACCTTTAATCCCAGGCCTTTAATCCTCTGGAAGGCAGAGGCAGGCAGATCTCTGTGAGTTCAAGGCCAGCCTGGTCTACACAGTGAGTTCAGGTCAGCTGGGGCTACAGAGAGAGCCTGTCTCAAAAAGACAAAGAAAAAAAAGCATAGTTACTGCAACATGCATCTTTTAATCTATTGCATGCCACAGGAATATTTTCTTCAGTGTTTGCCACTTTACGAAGCCTTTTCATGTGTAATATCCTATAACATAACTATGATGTAGCATAGTATTTTTCTCTTGTTTAAATTTCAGAGCTTAAAAGGAAGTTGTTCTGACTTTCCTTCTCTGCATAAGAGACTTAAATTAGGTTTAGGAAGACTGAGAGCCTATAATCTCAGCACTCAGGAGGCTGAGGCAAAGGGACTGCTGTAAATTCGAAGCCACCCTGGTCTAAATAGCGAGTTCCAAGCCAGCAGGGGACTACATAATGAGTCTCTGTCCCCAAGAATTAAAACGAAAGAAATAAAAAGAAAGGAAAAAGTCTAAGTGATTTGTCTGAAATTAGCAGAGCCCACGCCCACAGCAACATCCTGCCCAGCTTGCAACACCGCCGCAGAGCAGCTGGGGTCGCTGTGGGGCTAGTTTCCAGGGCTGGTGCAGCGCGGCGCAGTGTTCTGTTGTTAGGACGACAGCAGGGGCCAGGGAAGGGAACCAATCAAGGTACTCAATACCTGGGAGGAAGGAGGGGAAGGAGGAGAAGGGGAAGGAGGAAAAGCAGGGGAAGAAGGGGGGAAGGAGGTGGAAGAAGGGGAAGGAAGAGAGAAGAAGAGGACGACAGGAAGGAGGGGAAGGAGATGGAAGGAAGGACACGGAAGGAGGGGAAGGAGGTGGACCGAGCCGGAGGAGCTGCGCTGCGCAGGTCCCCGCTACGGAGTTCCGATAGCCGCGACTTGCACCCCTCTGACGCCCACGCCCTGGACGGTGGCCCTGGCGACCCCGGAGGCCCCGACGACCCTGGCGGCCCGGGCCCTGGAGACGCTGCTCTCACCTGCTCGCTGCTCATGGCGGCGAGGTCTGGCCGGGTCGCGCACGGCGCCCCGGGTCGCTGCTGCGGGACACCCGGGGTCTGGAGACCAGAGACACAAGGTCCGCTGCGGATTGGCGCTCTCAGCTCGCTGAGCCTGTGCTCGCTCTGAACAGGGAGCTCTAGCGTCCCTGTAGCATTCGTTGCTAAGCAACAAGCTAGGAGGTTCCACTTCGGTCATCCGAAGCTGGGGAATCGGGCCTGGAATTGTCGGTGCGGTCCAGCAGGGGGCGCTCTTCAGGGCCTCGGTGACGTTGAACACCCTGGGCAAGCATCTGCGCTGTCCAACTGAGCTGGGTGCTCATGGACCTCGGTCTTAACCCTTCATTTAGCTTTGTCTACCCCTAGGTCTGAGGACCCGTGGCATGAAATGATCACAAATTTCATTGCTGGTGTGGACAAGCAGAGTAATGAGAAGACACTCAAGCCAGTCAACACTTTCATTATCCAGGTCCTTCCATGTCTAGTTCTGTCAATGCGTCCTGCACACTAGGAAACAACTACTAAGATATCACAAAGTGAAACTTCCAAGATTCGTTTAAATTCATATTCACATTCATAAATGATTTACTACATGAAAAATGCTGTATCAAGATACAGTTACTTAGGCACAGACTAGGGGAAGGGTTAAATAAACTAGCAGAGACAGTGAGGTGAGTCAGTACCCTGGGAGAGACAGTCTCACAGAAGACGTGGAAGTTGAGGTCTGAAGGAGGAGATATGGTCAGGCAAGGAATGTTCCAGGCAGAAAGATCATCCACCTACAGAAGCCTGGCATGGAGGATGGCCATTGGAAGAACTAAAAATGAATCTACAAGATGGGGGGCAGTAGATCTGGGTAAAGGAAGGAGGAAGAAAAACTAATGATGACCAAATCACGTCTGAATTTTAGAAAGACCACCCTAGCCTCCAAATGGTAGGGGGACAGGAGACCTGTTAGAAGGCTATTCAAGAATTCAATGAGAAATCAGAGTGGTGGCTGAAACTGGGCTAGTGGTGATGTTGGAAAGTGGAGTACAGTGAGTATATCCAGGGATGGTCAAGGGATGTTTTCATTGAGATGTGGATGTTCGAAAGGAAGGAGCTTGAGGATCACTTGTTGCTTTGGATACCTGACTGAGTGGTGGCATCATTCTCTGAGGTGGTGAAAAGAAGAGGCTAAATGGCCATTTTTTAAATCATAGAGAATTTTATTATGAGAAGGCACTAATATCATTTAAACTGACCTCAGGAGAAACTGTGTCTGCCACTATAATCAAAGATAATTTTAGCTTTTTTCTGCATCGTATCTTCATATTTCTTATGCGAATTTTAAGTTTCTGTATCACAGTAGTAATATCTTCTGATATTCATAGACCAAAACAGGTAACAAAGAAAAAAATGACCTTGAACTCCTGATCCTTCTGCCTCTTCCTCCTGAGTTCTAGAATTAAAGGAATGTGCCACCAGGCCTGGCTTGTTTTGAGGTTTTTGTTATTGCTGTGGTTGTTTTGTGGGGTTTTTTTAATTGAATTTTTGCAAATTTCATGCAATATATTTTAATCACATTTATAGTTAGAACCCCTCACCTATTTGCACCTTTCTTACAGTCACCCACCCCAGCCAGATTTCATGTACTCTGTCATGAGTAAAGTTTGTGTCCCCAAATGTCCTTCAGTGTCTGTCCATCCACTGGAGTCTGTATAACCTATCTAGCATCACATCCTTAAAGAAAACAGATTCTTCCTCTCTCTCAACAGTTATTGGTTGCCATAGTTCCTCAGCTAAGGTTGGGGCTTCTTACCCCTTCTGGACTTTTATGCTGGGGTTTTGTCTGGCTTGAGCTTGCATGTGTTAATCCACCACCTCTGGCTCTTGCAGTCTTTCTGACCCTCTTCCTCAATGATCCCTGAACCTTGGGTGGCAGAGTTTGGATATAGGTATTCTAGTCAGCCTGCACTCTGCATTCTGTTATTCTCTGCAGTTTGGCCTGTTGTGACTTTCTGAATTAATCATCACCTGTTGCATGAGGAAGCTTTGCTGGTAAGAGTTGAGAGATGACATTAATATTCTTTCCACCACAACCCCATTTCTGCTATGTTCGCTGAGCCTCAGGTGTAGAGGTTACACTGAAGATATGTCCATTGAGGCTGGGCATCTCACAGACACTTACTGTCTGTGTTTGACCAGTTGTGGAACTTTGTAATAGTCTCCATCTGTTCGGAAAAGAAGCTGCTTTGATGAGTGGGGAGAGGTGCACTTGTCTGTATATATAAGAATATGTATTTAAAATACAATAAGAAATTATGTTGGTCTAGGGATGTGACAAAAGTACTTTTTTTTCCTACGATGTATGACCTATGTAGCCATGTGTACATTGGGTTGTGTTTCATAGTACCACACGTGAGTTCCTTCCCATTAAGCGGAACTTAAGACCAATTAGACAGCTGTTGATTACCCCCGAGATAAAAGTGCCACTACTGCACCAGTACAGATTATTTGCTAAGTCTGACATTGTAGTTCATAGACTTTACAGCTGGAAGGATCATTTGTTGGTCTTCTCTCTTGGCAGTTTGCATAGCATCTTTTGATACTATGAGAGCTAGTCTTCAAGGAGGAGGCTTCCAGATCAGCCCCAGCTTGATTGTTCCAAGTTCTGTATCCAAAGTATGTCCTATCTTTAGCAATAGAGTCTTACCTTCACATTCTGGGAGGCAATCAAAGCTTATGGCAATAATCTGAGTAATTTGAGGAATCTCTTGGACTATTCGGAACAACGATTCGAAGGGAGGTTTCCTGCCTTGCACTGTTTTTTGTTATATATCCTTCAGCTATATACGTGTGTGTGTGTGTGTGTGTGTGTGTGTGTGTGTGTGTTTCAGTAGACTTTTTAATTCATATATTTCCTCTGGTTTTTCATGCCACCTAAGTGTTATTCATCTCTTCTCTCTCTCCCTTCCCCTGTATAGCCCTCCCTGATGCCCCCCCAAAGTAACCCCATTTTCCTCATTTTCTCCTTGATAACACCTGTCTCCTGATTCCTACCATCCACCTCTCTTGAAATCCTTCTTCCCCTTTATCCCCATGTTCCTTTCCATTTTCCTGACTGCTGTGGATATATACTCACAAGTAAGGATTTGTAGCTAGGATCCACAAATGAGAACATACATCATTTGTTTTTCTGAGTCGGTGTTACTTCACTTAGTATAACAGTTTCTAGTTCCATCCATTTACCTGAAAATTTCATTTCTTTTTCTCTTCTTTCTTTCTTTTTTTTTCTTCCTGTTGGAAACAGGGTTTCCCTGGAACTTGCTATGTAAACCAGGCTGGCCTCGATCTCACAATCTCAGAGATCCATCTGCATCTGCCTCCCAAGTGCTGGGATTAAAAGCATGTGCCACCATGCCCAGCTGATTTTGATTTTCTTTACCACTGAGCAGAGTTTAGTTGTGTAAATGTACCACAATTTCCATTATCCATTTATAAGTTGAGGACATTTAGGCTGTTTCCATTTTTTAGTTATTGTGAAAAGAGCAGTAACAAGCATGGATGTACAAATATCTCTGAAGTAGGATGAGTCCTTTGGATATATGCCAAGGACTAGTATAACCAGATCATACGGTAGATTTATTTTTAGATTTTTAACAGTTCTCCATACTGATTTCCACAGTGGTTGCATCAGTTTGCCAAGGAGTGGTGTAGCGGGATCATCTGGTAGATATATTTTTAGTTTTTTAAGAGGTCACCACACTGATTTTCATAGTGGTCGTACCAGTTAGTTTGCAATCCCACCAGCAGTGAATGAGTGTTGCCCTTTCCCCACATCCTTATCAGCATTTGGTGTCATTTGTTCTCTTGATCTTCTTGATGAAATCTTAAAGTAGTTTTAATTTGCATTTCTCTAATTATTAAGGATGTTGAACACTTTGAGGTATTTCTTAGCCATTTTTATTTCTTCTTTTGAGAACTCTGTTCAAATCCATAGCCCATTTTTAAATTAGGTCATCTGCTTGCTTGATTTTTTTTTAATTTCTTTGTATATTCTGGATATTAGTCCTCTGCCAGATAAGTAGCTGTTAAAGATTTTCTCCCATTCTATGGGCTTGCTCTTAACTGGATTGATTGTTTCCTTTGCAGTACAGAAGCTTTTAAGTTTAATGAGGTCCCATTTTTCAATGGTTGACCTTAATTTCTGAGTAACTGAAGTTCAGTTTGGAAAGTTATTTCCTGCACCTATATCTTGTAGGGTACTGCCTATGTTTTAACAGTTTCAGCATTTTGGTTTGATATTGAGGTCTTGGATCCATTTGGAGTTGACTTTTGTGCTGGGTGATAGATGTGGGTCTAATTTCATTTCTCCATACCTGGAGATCCAATTTTACCAGTACCAGTTTGTCAAAGATGTTGTCTTTTCTCCAGGGTGTATTATTGCACCTTTGTCAAATATCAGGTAGCTGAAATTGCATGCACTCGTGTTTGAGTTTTCTATTTTGTTACATTGATCTACATGTCTGTTTTGTGCCAATACAGTGCTGTTTTTATGACTACAGCTCTGTATGGTATGAAATCTGGTATGGTAATCCCTCCAGCATTGATCTTTGTGTTCAGGATTGCTTTGACTATCCAGGTCTTTTGTGATTTCATATGAATTTTAAGATTTTTTTTTCTATTTCTGTGAAGACTATCATGAGGATTTTTATTGTGATTGCATTGAATTTATAAGTTGCTTTTGGTAGGATGGTCATTTTCACAATATTAATTCTACCAATCCATGAGGACAGGAGGTCTTTCCATCTCCTGGTGTCTTCCTCAATTTCTTTCTTCAAAGATTTAACATTTTTCATTGTCAAGATCTTTAATGTCTTTGGTTAGTTTTATTCCTAGATTTTTTTTTCAGGCTATTGTGACTGGGAGTGCTTATGTAATCTCTTTTATTGGTATATAGAAAGGTTAGTGAAATTGTAAATTAACTTATAATCTGCCACTTTGCTGAAAGTGTTGATCATTTTTCAAAGTTTTCTGGTGTAATTTTTGGAATCTCGTGTATAATAACATATCATCTGCAACTAGAGCTAATTCGACCTTTTTCAATTAGTAACTGTTTAATTTCTTTCTCTTGTCTTATTGCTCTAGCTAGAGTTTCAAGTGCTATATTGAAAAGGGGTGGGGATAGTGGACAGCCTTGTGTTGTTCCTGATTTTAATAGGAAGGCTTCAAGTTTTTCTCCATTTAGAATGATGTTGGCTGTGGTGTTTTCATATACAGCTTTAATTGTGTTAAGTCCAATTCTCTAGTCCATTTCTCTCTAGGACTTTTATCATTAATGCCTTCTGAATTTTGCCAGAGGTTTTTTCTGCATCTCTTGAAATTACCTATAATTTTTGTCTTTAAGTCCATTTATATGATTTATTACACTTATTAACTTATGTATATTGAACCATCCCTGCATCTCTTGAA